TCGAATGTCGGTACCGCAAGGAGAGGAAGATTAACAGTCGTTGGTGTCGTTCGTTTCGTAATTACCAAATCCGTCAACCACTTCTTCACTTGTTCATCCACATAGGGGAGCCATCGATCGGATACAAAGTTACGCGTCGATCTGCGCATCTGCATCGCTTGTTCATGGGCTACTGGGATGGTTACCTCACTCCCTTCCAGATGACAGCGTGCGTTGTCGGCAATCTTCGCATTGGCTTCCAAATCCTGTGCCAACCGTTGGCGTACATCGACGTGTTCCGTCGTGTTAGGTGCTTGTCGGCGTGGTATGGGTTTGAGGAGCTCATCTAGTTCCGTGGGGTCTATTGGTGCAAGTGGCGATCGGATACCGCCTATGTATAGGCCCAAGCCTTTCAACATATCTTGCCCCACTATGACATCTATACCCGTCGGCAAATTCATCAATTCCAATGAACCGTCGATAATTATGGTGCCGTACCTTATAGGTACCACTTCCGTCGTCCCCAGTCGAGGAGTTCGAACCGCCTTGTCAGCTAAATATATATATAACCCAGGTGGTGCCGGAGTTATTGGTCGGCCAAGGAGGTCTGCGGATGTCTGTGAGATACAACTTCTATTTGCTCCCGTGTCTATCAAGGCTTTGAACGTACGTCCGTTGATTTGTACTTGAATATAGACTCGGTTATCTGACGTCAGCAATGGGTCTTGTATTGCCATCACTGCTCCAATCGTGGTAACAAATATGAAGCTCCTATCCGACTCAGACACCCTCACCTCTCATGCGTGATCGGCTACCGACTCCCACGTCTCATAGGCGTGGTTTGGTGTTGACGTCATGTGCTCGAAGTCTTCGTGAAGAATCGTGTTGATATGAATCTCCGTAGCTTCCTATGGTAGAGCCAAGACTGCGTCCTGTGTAATCTCATTCACCTGTACTTGAGGCGTCGGACGTATTGTGACTACGTCTCTAGTCTAGGATTTATTCTGCCCCTGTCCTGCGGTTGATGTTGTGGACGGTCTGTGTACCTATAGCCTTGGCCGACCCTCCGCGCTCACCGCTTGCGACGCCCTGAAATGATGACACCGTGGGATGTGCCTACCACCTGGTGGCGCTTGTGCCTGGCACCCCGCACAAGTCGTTGGTACCGTAGGTTGGGACCGTTGAGTCCAATTCTGCGTTTGTCGTTTATTCGTCTGTAGGTTGGGGCGGTTATTGGTGTAGTCACGACTTCCATTGGTTGTCGGGCCCTCGCGGCTGTTGCGACTCTGGAGACGTGCTGTCGTACGTTGCTGTGCATCCTGAATGTCAGGGCTCAACAGCTGTATAAGCTCGTGTGTCTCCATCAGTTGCCATTTGGGATGCAACTGTAGAGTACGTTCATACGTACGGCCGTTGAGATCTTCTTCTAACAGCTGCACAATGCAGTGGTTCAATAAATTCTGTTGGAAGTCGGCATCTGTCTGGCACCGTTCACGTGCCCTCCTGTGGTTCTCCATGAGCTGTGTCATTTGTTCCATAAGAGGAGTGTGCATGTTCCGACTTTGGCCCTTGGCTAACTTGCAAAACGCGGGATCGACAGTGGCTTGTGTTTCGTGCGAACAGATCTGTTCGATCTGTAGCTGAGGTGTCCATGTCTTCAACCGTTCAGAATTGTCGCGGATGTAGTCCAGTGTTGACTTCTCCGCCTTGAAGTAAGATGGTACCTTATGAAACCCTGTAAGGTTCCAACTCTCGTCCAACCCTGCGATTTGTGCGTTCTTGAACGCCTCGAGGAGAGCCTCTCTTGTGTCCCGTTCCATAATATCATGTAGGTAGTATCTGTTCGACGGACAATCAGGCCACATACGTGGTGAAGGTACGGGACGCTTCTCTACTGGTCGGGACTCTAATGTAGCTCGAAGTGTCTCAATCACGCCCCGAAGAGCTTCAGCTCGAGCCGTGTTATTCTCCTCGATTGCTTGGCATAGCTCGTCACTTAATTGTAGTATCCGTGCGTGTAGCGCCTGTCGGCTTTTCTCGATACTAGCCGGTGTAGGTGGAGGCACTGGTGTCTCCTTCTCTTACC